TACTCTTGGCCCTTTGAAAGGAAATATTTTCCACAAATTTATATATTCCCTTAAAAAGACACGTGGTGACAATTCCTGCTCTAAATTCTCCTTTTCTTTCCTGCTTCCTTAAGGGAAATAAGAAAAAGTCCCCTCTGCTTCTTAGAGGCTTATCAGATGGAGCCACCCTCCTGAAAATCTCAGACTTCAGCAATTTGAACAGGGCGTAACCCTCTATCACTTTATTGGTTTTCAAATTAAGCAAAAAAAAATTTTTTTTCATTTTTCCATCCTTCTATTTAAAACAGACCACTTCCTCATACCTTCTCAACTTATTTATTATGCTTTTCTTTCTACCCATACTTCTCTCATTCCTACATGCTTAAACTTTCTTGCCTTTCCTTCTGATAGACTTTGATTAAAGTCCCTTTAAAACTGCACATATCTTATTTCTTTCTAAGTCTGACCTGACACTTCTCTTACCCTCCTCAGCTGGCTTTTTCCAATCATATAACCTAAATAACAAAGTATTTCTTTCTCTTACTTTCTCTCATCCACTCTTTCCTCTGAGGCTGTTGTAATCAAGGAGGGAGGGAGAGGGGAGAGAAAGAGAAAACAGTTTCCAAGCAATAAATCCAGCTGCAGCTCTGAGAAGCTACCGTTGCTGGCTGCATTTTTATGCCTTTTATACCTTACCCTACACCTTTGTACCTTCGGATTACACAGACACTCACTCGCACAGATACACGACAGACAGAAACAAAGTCACGAAACAAATCCTGTTTATGTTTTCTTGTCCTTTTATGTTTTGATAGTGCACTCAATTACTCTATCTGTTCGCTATATCTTTGGTAATTCATCCCAATTGCTAATCCTAGACCCTAAAGGGCTGTTGTCTGGAATATTTGGTAAAGGATCCTTGCCACCATTAACCTTAGAATTCGTTTTCCCCATGCCTTACTGACTCTAACTGCTTAGGCGGGCTTGCTGGCAGCCTTACGAACTCTAACCACTTAGGCTCTGGAGAACCTGGTCACCCAGGGGCTCACCAGTCTTGGCCTTGGCTACCTTATGGACTACCTTATGAACCTTTTAGGTGCACAAAGGACTCACGGGTCTTGCTTACCTGGGTCTGTGCACACAAACTTATGTGACCGCTTCAGTTTCTCTTTCTCTGGTGGCTTCTTGCTTTGCTGGCGAGGTGGAGCTCCATTACTTTTGTTTTTGCCTCTTGAGATCTTCGGGTCCTTGCCTAATCAGGAGGGAAATCTCACAAAACACCGAATCCTCAGGCCACCAGAAGCTCACCGGTGGGCACCTGCCCTGGGATCCATGTGGGGAGATCTCTTCTAAAAGGGGGGATCCTGGACGATGCCCCATAACTGTGTGAGGTGTTTATGACCCCTAAAATAATCAAATCAGAGACTTTTTCTTAAGAAAGGCAAAAAGGAGTTTTATTGCTTTCTCATGAGAAAGGACACACCCAGCATCGCTCAAGATGGCTCCAGCCAGGGTGTGCAAGGGAGTGCAGCTCAAAGCCAGTTTATATAGACCCTAATGTGGAACCTCCACCCACCCACTAGCTCCTCTTCCCATTGTCTGGGCTTCAGAGCTCACAGTCTAAGCGCAGAAACTTTTCCCCAGCAACAGGGTTGCAAAAAGGTGCAAAACAAGGAACTGTTGGTTCAGCAGGAAAGTAAGATAAAAGGAGGGGAGAGCCAGAAAGCCTGGAGAAACAAAATACTTTCAGGATCATCACCTGATATACTCCCTTATCTTGTTTACATATTTGTATAAACCAATAAACCAAGAAATCAATTAATCAATAACCTAATCTCCCCCTGTTCTGTTTTCTTATCAATTCTGTGGGAACCAAACTGTTAGTATTTCTCACATTATCAATTTTATGTCCTTTTTAGTGACATGAACATATAAGATAGACATTCTACATCTTGCCATCTATTTTAGTGTTCCACACATGACAAAAACTTGTGATTCCATAGAATTGAAATTATAAAAACCACCATAAAAGCCTCTTTTATATAGTGTAGGGTGTCATCTTTCTTATTTTACAGTGCTTTCAATAAAACCAAATCTTGTGCTGTCACAGGAGAGGCAAAAATTTGGGAGGTGGCATAGGCTAGCACAAAAGAATTTAGAGATTTTATGGCAGTAGTAATTTTTCTAATTATGCCAACCCTATTTTGATATCATGTCATGATAATACGTCTTTGTAGAGCACTTTACAAAGTGTTCTCACATAGATTTTAAAGTTGAAATATCATCTGTAAGATGATAAAACAGGGCCCAGAAGAGTGACCTCATTTGATTTTCACAACAAGCTTTGGGCATTACGCAGGGTAGAAGCTCAGAAGTTAAGTAATTTGTGTGGTCAGTGCAGCTAGTAAGTGACAGGGGTAGGCCTACTCATTTAACTCTTGTAAACTTTCTCCTGTACTGAACTACTTTTATACATATAGTAAATACTCAGTATGTATGTGGGCAGTGGTGATCTGCAGCAACTGGAATGGAAGCTGTTTGCTGGGAAGAGCCAACTGCCTACATTAGAACTCAGTCTGTGTTTAGAGGTATGCTCATACTCTCTAGAACTGTTGGGAGAAAAATAGAGGAATTGTCAGAAATTCAGGCCTGAGAATATTTCTGAGTAGAGAATTTCTTTTTACTTTTTGTATCTATACTCCACTTTGCTTTATAAGATCTATAAAATGAAAGTAAATGCCTTGGGGGAATGTAAAAATGCTTATTATTTGTGAACATTACAAATCATTCAAGATGTTCATTGACACTCTTTTTTTAGATAATTTATAATGTAATCTTTAATGATCCTTGTTAAGAATCTTACTGTCTCTTGATTCTACTGCCACCAGGCCTTAATAGGTGTTACATATGTTAATTGACTGAATAATCTGATTACAAGAAGATTTGTGTAAACCACAAGCATAGAGATAATGGGAACTGGAAGATCACAGAATCTTTAAATTTTCCTAATTTGCTTCCATTTTAAATCAGCATTATATGTATACACATTTATATTTCAATCATTATCCTTTCAACCAGTGTCATTCAATTACTCCCTCTTTTGGGACAAGATTTTGACAGTATTTAGGCACTAAATTATGCTTACTGCCATTTTGTCTTCTCTGCTGCCTATTAAACACTTTTTTTTCTTAAAACTTAGGCTATTTCAATTAAAATTAACCTTAGGTTATCTACACTGGACTTGGTGGTGTTGTCATTTTCTTCATAGATTATTGACTACAACTTGGATGGCAACAATATGTCTGGATTAGGAAATGCTGGTACTCATTTAACTCCAAGATCCTAATTCCCAATTAACTGAGTCACATTTAGAGCTCTCCTCCCTATGTATTAAAACTGGTGTATGCTTTTATCATTTTGCCTATTCTGACATTTCTTTCACAAGTACCTTCTCTGTCAGAATTCCTCTTTCTCATAGCCTTGATTAGATTATCTCTTGCAAGTCACAAGATTCAAAACATTATTTTTCTTAAGCTCTGTTAATATCCGTGTAGGATAACAATAGTACATAATTCTATGCTATGTCCAGGTAGTAACAGTGTGGCTTGGCCTTGCCAGCTTCTTTCCTTCTCCATACTCTCCCTTGACACCTCTTGTTGGGAGCATTGTTTTTTGATCCAGGTTATTTTGATTCAGTTCTTCCTCTGTAATTTGGGGCAGGTTACTTAGCTGCTCATTTCTTATTTCTAAAGGGAAGATTTTTGAATTTGTGACCTTTAAGGTCTCTTCCAATTCTAGATCCTATGATATTTCCCTATCAGAACACTGATTGGGTCACCTCCTTTTTTCATCCATCTCCTAATTCTTTTTCCTTAGTCAGACCTATTTTTACTATGACCTTTACCCACTATTATATCCCTTGGTTCCTATTTCCCTGATCATTTCCACTCCATTCCTATTTCCCATCACCAAAACCTGGTGATCATGTTTTATAAGCAGATCCTACTGGGGTGCCCATAGTTTCTATTTTCTTCCATCCTTTACCACTCATTATACTCCTGGGAAAGTAAATAGAGTAGTATTAAAAGCTTATGGGATCTTAGAGACACCTGATCAAATATATTTTTATATAATGGTTCATAATATCTGGGGAAAATGTCATCATAAGTTCTAATTAAAGATATTGGGGAGCTAACAAAGAAAAGAGAAAAAATGGTAAAAAAAAATTGATTTTGCTATATTAGAAAGTTAGTCATTTTTTTACTAATGGCAAACGGTCCTTTGCTATTTATGCCTAAGTACCATGTTACATAATAACAGTTGAGTAAATCATTAAATATGCCTTTTTAACTTTTGTAAGTCTTAATTACCAACATGAACCAAGTTCACATGCATTCATTTATCCTTCACTGTTATTTGTAGTTGTCTGTTCGCAAATTGAACATTAGTGAAGTCACTAGTTCTAAGCTGCAACATCTCTTAAAGGGTCCTATATATCTTTTGTTTTGTATATTTAATGGTACAAAAGAGTATGCCCACCAGCAAGTGACATTTGATTAAATACAACATTTGCACAAAATTGGATATTTCTTTGAATTCGCTTGATAGCATTTCATTCATAGCATGTGAGTATCATTTGTCAGATCAGACTGATAGACAAAGAGGAGCGTCAACTTTGACAATGGATAACTATAAATAAAAAGCTACCATTTTGTATTTTATGACATTTTTATCCTATCTTGATTTTCTTAACTCTTTTCTTACATCTTCATGTGAAAGACAATTTGGCATATTTTTAGCTTTTGTTTACTTAATAGAATCAAGCGCCAATTATGATGAGTGAGCTGCTGGGAAATACAATGAAAGAGACAGTGTACTTTAAGTGAATATTTTACTTAGCAAGTTGTAGAATTTTTAAAATGTAGTATAAAGAACATGTAATTGTACAACTATATTTTCCCTTGGATTTGAGTATTTTGTGTTTTTTATTTTTTGTCCCCTTTATACTATATCTCTTTCAGGTCCAGCGTCTTCCATTTCTTCAGAGCTCGAACCTCTCCCTGGATATTTTGAGGGGTAATGATGAGAGTATTGGATTTGAAGATATTCTCAATGGTATGTATATTGTCATATATACCAGAGATTAAAAAATTAAAGTAACTTTTACTGCTTTTAAATCAATTCAGTCTATATACATTTCTATCATGCATATTTTTGTTATAACCTTAAGCATTAAGTTGTATACTTAGATATATCTCATAGTTAGCAACAGAGTTAACAAGTATTAACAAGAAAAATGACATAGGAACAAATGGAGTAAAGTTGTTTTTAAAAAGAAGCTTTTATCCTTTTCTTCTTAGTGATTTTCTGCAGTTTTGTAAGCATGATAGGTACAGGGTGAAAGCATGCCATTTTTACCAAATTTCCCCAAACAGTGCTATTGTTCTTGCATGTAAATGACTTTTGTCTAAGAACAATATAGCCAGCGTCCTCTACTGTTTCTGGGGCCCTGGAGAATAAACAAATATGATGACAGCCATACTACTTTTGTGCACTGTGCCCCCAACAGTTCTATAGAAACAGACAAATGAATTCTAATTGGATTGCATCAGTTTTGCTTTGCTGCTGATATCCGGTGAGGAAGTGCTGTGGACACAACAGCAGCATAGTTAGGAATCCTTCTCTGAGAATCTTCGCTGCAGGAATTTCTTAAATGCAGGAAAAGCTAAGGTCTCAGACTCTTTTAAACTTCCTATTACAATAAAAGAAGAAAGTTTAGTTCTGATGCTTTCTTTAATTATATAAAAGCATTTATTTAAACTTCATTGCTTTGTGATTTGAAGTTTGAGTGATAACTATTAGTAGCCATGTAACTAGGATTTATTTCCATTAGTCCAAGTACTATATAAAACGTAAGTTATAATGAATAATTTATAGGAAACAAATGTAAAGTTTTTCTATGATGTGTTTTAAATGGGGAGGGGCACAGTGATTACCCAGGGTCACTGAAGTCCTACCTCAGTGCTTTTGTATGGAGGTAACCCCAATTCTTGAAGACTTCTTACAGGATTGTAATATGGTAGGAGTGTTGGGCTGAGAGTCAGAAGACCTGGGCTTAAAATTCACTTCTTTTGTTCACTAGATGTGTGAATTTGAGTAAGTGCTCCAGACTTGATTGTCCACATGAAGGAGTTGGAAAGTGCTGCGTTTTAGTCAGGAGATCTGGGTTCAAGTCTTGGCTGTGTGCAGTCTTGGACAAATCACTTACCCTCTCTAGGGCTTTATTTTCCTCATCTGTAAGATGAGGGCACTGGATTAGCTGACCTCTATAGTCTCAATTCTAACATTCAGTGAGAGTTCAGCTTTTGGCTTCTGTTGAGTACCTTACATAGAAGACACTGTCAGTGAGTAGTGATCAGTGTGTGGGTTAGAGTTAATATGAAGAAGTTTGGAAAGTACTTAGCTCATGCATGAATGTTTTATTCTGGTTCTTTTTTGAGGTGATGTTAATTTTTTTCATTGTTTTTTAGATCCATCACAAAGTGAAACAATGGGAGAACCACACATGATGGTGGAATACAAACTTGGTTTACTGTAAGAGGAATATGTTGCTAATGAAAATAGAGAAACAGCATCCAGTTTATAATTGTCTTTTTATTATGGTTTGATGCATATAACATTAAAAGTACTGCTATTTACTGTTCTTATGGCTAATATGTACTGTCAGTAATTTGAATTTGTTTGGGTCCTTGTATTATTAATGTAACCATATTATTTTGAGGAATGAATATTGTAAAATGAGGCAATAAGGAAAACTGAACCTTAGTTCTTAAATGTGAAGAACAAATTTTTGTTGTACGTTTAGAGAAGGGCATAGAACAGGCGTTCTAATTAATCTCATTTTGACATATCCTCTTTTTAGCATTGACACCCAACTGATTTGAACATAGGCCACACCCTTAAAATAAAATCTGTTAGAGAAAAAAATACATTTTGGAGACAGAAGAGCCCTCCAACTCCGTAACTTTAACAGGCTTCGCTTAGCAGAGGAAGAGACCAATACTGCTCTTCTCTTTCGCTACATATCTTGTGTAACGTAATTGCCAAATCCAAAGCTAACCTGAGCTGAATTGCAGTTCCTATTTGAATTAGTACTTAAGTTAAAAAATTTTAACCCAAAGTATTTTCAGTAGCTTTTACTATATTAACACAACATGTGAAAGTAGGCAGGGCCCTTTTTTTGCAAAGTCATCCGCATTTCCTGGCTGTGCTAGAAGAGAGCTACCTTAAGGTTTACTTTACCCTCAAGTATTTTGCTCTAGTGATGGCAGTTACCCCTCCTGGCCAGTAGAGGGTACTGCCTAGCGAGCTAAAAGAAAATGAAATGAATGGGTTTCATTGTCCCTGTAGCATGCGAATTGCATAACAAAATGAGACCAGGGAAATTGATTTTTGTGCATTAAAAAAAAAATTAACAAGATACACATTAAGTGATCTCATTTCTAATTGGAAGAAAGATTAGAGACTTTCCATATTGGGAGGAGAGCAAAAAGGTCCAGTTCTTTGAAATCAGAAAAAGAGATGTCCCACTCCCCTAAACATCTGTTCCAGGGGTGGGCAACCTGTGGCCTCGAGGTCACACGTGGCCTTCTAGGTCCTGAAGTGCAGCCCTCTGACTGAATCCAAACTTCACAGAACAAATCC